GCTCCCTCCAAGCGAGGAGTCCCGAGCTCCTCTCAATGAGCCCCAAACTCTTCTTGAGAAGGGAACACCCCGATCTGTGGGTAAGTATCCCAAGGTAGAAACACTTCGGGTCAGCACCATTAACACTCCTGTCCATACTTTCCTAAGGCTTGCCTCAAGCATAAGCACCTCGGCACACCCCCAGCACCTCGGTGTAAGGTAGCTCGGTGCAAAGTAGCTCGGCATCATGCAGGAAAGATCTATCTGACAACAGTACCTGCCGAATCTGGAGGTTGTGCCCACGTCCCTCGTCAGGCGGCGTCGTGCCTGCCATTTCTGAGAGATGTGGCACACTTGACAGGTCCATACCCTGCAACGGCTGCCTGCATCCGCCACCTCGGCTTTGGCAGTAACGGCTGCAGCAGAGGCGGTTGCGCCTGACTTAACAAAGGCAGTTATGCCTGATTTGATAGATCTCCAGTATAAAAGGACCCCGACCCCCAAGGAGCAAAGGTACTGAACTTGCACCATCTGCACTCTTAGCTCTCTCTCTCTCTCTCTCTCTCTCTCTCTCTCTCTCTCTCTCTCTCTCTCTTTGCATTCTCTACAGCTCTCTCAGAGTTCTAACTTAAGCATCGGAGTGTTCCCGCCGGGCGAGCTCCCCGGGAATTCTTCACTTTGCTCTTTATCTCAGGTACYGTCCGTCACCAGCTAGGARCCAGGTTTCCGCCAGCTAGGAGTGTCCGAATCGTGCTGCATCAGTTTGTTTGACAACTTTGATCTCCTAGACAACCTGTGATCTCATTGTCCTCACTTTCTACTTTCTCGTCACGATCTTTCCTCTTCCCGTCTCCCTTATCACCTTGATCCGCCATCAATTCTTCTACACTTATGTATTTTTAGGCACAGTCAAGGAAGTTTTTAATGTTCAATGTAGTGACCTGTACTGCTGGGTCGATATTTTGTACTTACATGCATTCTAAATTAAACCTACGAACATACTCTCTAATGCTTTCTTCGAAGCACTGGCAGACAGACATCAAATTTGTTGCGGTCTTGGTGTGCCTCCGGCTTGTAGCGAAGTGGGAGATGAATAGGTCAAAAAACTGTTTCCAATTGGTGATGGAGATCGGTGCACCCCGAATACTACATCCAAGCTATTTGACAGAACGTTGTGGGGAAGGCCAAACACATGCTGGCTTCTTAGGCCCCATGAAGAAGTATGTGAGCTTGGAAGCTCTTTATGTGATCCATAGGATCAATTGTGCCATCTTAATTCTCAAGATTCGGCATCTTAAATTCTTTCGGGCATGGCTCAAAATGAATTTCTGTGGACAGCAGAGACAGAAGAGAGGGGCAAGCTCGGAAAAAAGTGTACCTTGTAGAGTTAAAGGCCTCCCATTTTATAGGAGGTGAAGAGTGTTTAGAGTGCCTCCAAAACTCTCAAAGATAACTGGCCTCAACCCTTGGATTCTTAGGGATCCCTGGGAGCGTTCACCGGACAGGCCATTCGTCGTTTCCTTAAGAGACAGGGAGGCTTCCACGATTACCACTAAGTGCGCGACATGCCTCTAAGGCTATTGGGGATATCAAATGATTTGTAATGCATTCATTCCACGTGCTGACAATGTAGGTCAGCTTTATGAGGTCGGAGGGTTGATCCGGTGCTGGGCTGTATGGGTGTTTCGAGGTGAGATCCGAGGTCTTGGTCGGTCTTCCCAGGCCATCTTCATTTTCGCTTGAGGTCTTTTGATAGAAGATGAACCCATCCTGTCGACGGATGAATCCCGACCTAGTGCTCCTTCATGTCACAGGGTAGCCGATGTGATACATGGTCTCAGGCGACCGGTATGCTAGTTTTTTCCATCATCACCTATGATCCCATGATCCCCTTTCCAAAATACCCCTAGGTTTAATGCATCTATAAGCAGTTGTCTCAAGGAATGGAAAAGTTGGGGATTCCCTGTTCTTGTCAAGGATGGTAAAAGCGGTTGAACCCCATCATCACAGGTGAAGGAGGGAGAGTTGTTGAATCCCCACTTGCCTTGTTGCTATTCCTACCACTAACTAGTAAGTACAAAGTAGGTGATTATGGGCCAGGGTGGTTCAGATTTTGAGCCTATTTCACTTAATACTCTATTTAATGGCTTTTAGCTATGATGCTAGAAAGACATGATACTAGAAAAACTTACAACCAACCAATCGGCTTCATAAAAGTGGTAACTTATCACATGTCTTTCCAACATCAAAGATTTTCCCATATTTAATATGCATAACAACTTATATTATATGCTATGTATAAAGCACATATTATCATTTATATAAATATAACAATATTGTATATATATATAGTAAGATGGTCCACATCAGCATGTCTCTCCTTGCTCCATTACCCCGACCCTGCATTCTCCTTGATTCTCTCTCCTATCCCCTTCCCACCACTCACATGCCATATCACCATTCCCTACTAGATCTAGTTCATGGGTCGGGCCCGGGCTTGGATTTTGTCAAACTTTTAATGGGCCCGGTCCGAAGCCCGAGCCCGAGATAGTGTAAAGTTGGGCCTTAAGCCCAACCTTTGGATAAGTCTATTCCCAACCCAACTGCCTAAAAATATTCCTAAAATATCCCTCCTAAGGTATTTCTTCTAAGCCATTAGGAATGTATCATGTCACCCCTCTCCCCAATCAATTCCTAAAATCTCTCCCACATTCTATATCCACTCTCTCATTTAAAATATACATATTAATTAATAAATAKTTAAATATGGTTAATATTTAATCCAACCCGTATTCAATGAGTATTAAATAGTGTTATTACCAAAAGTTAATAAATACGGTTAGTAAATTACCAAAAATCAAATATTCTTATTAGTATAGTTAGTAAATCACTAAAAAATAATAAATATTGTTATTCATTAACTCATTATGACTTGTTAAAGTATTTTGGGTTATATTCATGTTAATTAGCAACATTTTATAGAAATCGAAAACTCTTTAACTAATTCCTATAAAATTGAGAATTATATTTAACAATTATCAAAAGTATAAAACTTTAGTTATTTCTGTTGTTATAGTTAATAACTGAATGCAGATGGGGGAATAAGATATTATAGTGGTGGAAAATAAAATTATCAATTCATTTATATTAGAAAATAAAAGATAAATTAGTGTAATTTTGTTAGTAAACTACCTAATAAAAATAAAAATTTAATAACAATTTAAAATAAATTTTCAATAAATGTCCATAAATACACAAATGTAATAAAATTTTCATAAATCTAAATTTTTGTAAAATAACATTTTGAAAATTAAAAGATATAAAATTTTTGAAATTTATTTAAAATGTATTAAATAATTATTGGAATATTTTGGAATTTTAGAAAATTTTATTACATTTGATAAATGAGTATGGGAAGGGAAAATTGTAATTTGAACCAATAATTACACAAATTATTAAGATAAATTAGTATAATATTGGAAAAAGGAAATTATTGATTAGTTTATATTAAAAATGTTTGTTCATATTAAATTAACAATAATTATTTTCTGTAAATCAACATTCAATGAATACAATTATTAAAATTTTAAATATTAACAATAACTTTGAATACTTTTAATTAATTAATAGCAAATATTGATTATTAATTTATCAATTAATTAATAATAAATAAAATTATTCAATCTTTCAGATTTTCTGATGCACCGCACAGGTCCCCGCTAGTATAATATAAAACAAAACAATAATGTACTTATGTAATATGTAAATTAAATTGTATTAAACTTAAGTCGAGCCAAACGTGGGGATGTGGGAATAGAAAAATGGGGCCTAAACCCAGAAATTTGTAAAGAAAGCCAAGTCGAGCTAAAAATGTCACCACTAGCACTGATGGTAAGAATATGATCGGGTTGGATTTGGGCTGCATTTGGCATTCTTATTTTAAGGATTTATCTTTTTTTGGAATTAAAATGTTCATATAAACACTGAGTTTTCAATTAGAAAAAGTAGATAAATCCTTAAAATAAGGAATGCCAAATGCATCTTTGATTTGGATTCAATAATATCTAAATTTGCATATGATTTTTATTAACATATTGGATTTGCATTTAATAATCCAAAGTCAACAAACAATCTCTTAGTACTTATCTTCTTTTTTTCACGGGAAGATATTTCCCGTGAAATGTTCGAACAATGTGAACAATGTGAACATGGGCGTGCACTGATTGAAGCCAGTTTCGTATTATTGTCTTTAAAATAAAAAAATGAATAATTTTTTGTAACTAAAAAAATTAATATATATATATATATATATATCATAAATCGTCTCAAATTAAAAACACTTCTTAGGATTCTTCTACTTTTTTATACAACTTTTTTTAAAAAGGCGAGACATCATAAATAAAAATTAAAAAGTTGATATTAAAAAACAAAAACACCTCCATTCCATATGCTGCTACATGCAGGGTTTCTTTGTTTATTGGGTAGAGCTTATCAGCCTAGAGAAGGTGCGCGGTCTAAAAACAATGAGATGCGCCCAAATCAGTTCAGACTTTATTTGATAAATAAAATAAAAAAGTCCGGAATCAAAGATATACGTGTACGGATGTGATTTATCCACGTGCAGGAACAGGATAAGTTAGAAACCATTATGGCATAAGGAGAGCACTTTCTCGAGTGCGTGTCCTGATTCCAACCACAACATAACACGTTGTACAACTTGTACGTAGTGATATTTTCAGCCAAAGAAAAGATATTTTCGAATCTGGCCCCATCTCTCAACGTGGCGTACGACCTCCACTTACATCCAATCCCTGATGTCCTTCTCTTATTCTGAAATCAAAGGATAGCATCAATCTTTCGTCGACACGCGTCCTTTTAGTTCCATCCACAACGAAACGTGTCCTGTTCCTGATGAAAATTCAGAAGCGGTTAATCAATCATCTCCAGTTCGACACGTTTCCAACTGTTCCGGACATATATATACACGTCAAGTCCTGCATCCACACACAAGCCAACAGAAACGTCCCATTAGATTGTGTAGCTTTGCTTTCTGTCTCTGAAATGAGCGGGAGCCAGTGCCAGAGGTCGAGGCCCAATCCGCCGAATGACGATTCAGAAACGAGCAACTCGGGGATCCAAAACGAGCGTATTCTCATGTTAGTCTTCAAGTCCATCAATTGGGATCCCCACGTTCTATGCCTCATGGCTTGCGTGAGCAGGAAGCTCCGTGCGGTAGCGAAGAGGTTGCTATGGAGAGAGCTCTGCGTATCGCGGGCGCCGCGCATGGTAGCGGCATTGATCAACGGTGCGCCCAACGGCCGAGTTGGAGGTGGGTGGCACGCGCTTGCCAAGCTCCTATTGTTTTGCTGCGGATGCCAGCCGAGTCGACACTTCCGGGTAAACCAAGCTTCGCCGGGTCACTTGGTGAAAGCGACTCGGTTTTCCAAGACGTCAGGCCGGAGTTTCTTGAAGAAGAGGTGCCAAGGGGATCTGTTGTATGTAAGTGATCCTTGTGAGCATCCTATGGGGGGCAACGAGGACGATTTGGGTATTTACAGAGGGGTATTTATGAGATTTATGAATTCGAGGACGAGAGCTTACTTGATCGGACGGCGGGTGGAGTTCGAAGAGAATGTCAGGTGTCCTTACTGCGGGGCCCGAGTGTGGAGTATGACAGCGGCCAAGCTCGTGCCTAAAAGTGCGTCGAGGAGGCTTGGATCGCACGACGGCGGATTGGAGTACTTCGTTTGTGTGAACGGCCACTTACATGGGACCTGTTGGCTAGCGCCGTTGTCGTCGGATGATGAAGATGATGATGATAATGATAATGACTATGACGAAGAAGACGATTATGGGAACGGTGGAGTCCATGGTGATGATCGGATGGATATAAGCGGCCGGATTAATGGGGGTTCGGGCTCGAGCGAGGAGGAGACTATGGAGATGGGCGACGTGGCCATTATTTCCACCGTAAAGATGAGCCATTCGCTCATACGTGCAAAGCATCCGGGATCATCGGCATGACGTTGACGTATTTGTTTGAAGCTGACCTAGCTAAATCTTTATTCCCGTCCTTACTTTCAGTCTTTTCTGGTGGTTCCTTTTTTGTTATTCAGCAGCTATTCCTTGTTCCTTCGTGATCGGCGAAAAATAGGAAATAATGTAGCTAGTTAGTGAATACTGAATACGGAGGACGGGAAGACATAGATGTCTTTTTTGTTTGAAACCCACCATCTGATACGTAAATCTAATCGAAACATTTCACTGAGTTTTTGTTTGATTTAATGCACTAATTAGGTTTATTTATAAGTTAGTAACCTAATTCCTGAGAATAATGGGCTCCCCTAAGGTACGTGTAATTCATGCAAGTATGCAAATAGAGGGTAAAGATATAAATTAAAATCAAATTTAATTTTTATTGTTTATATTAAAACAATAATATATATATATATATATATATATATATACACATACGCACGTTGCACATAGCAGTGTGTTCAACTCAAAGACCTAACTTCAAATGTTCTTATAGTTTCTATCAAAGTTTTCAACATGCAGTTGAAGTTGAACCATATAGTTGGATTTATTGATTTGTCAATTGGACACATTTTTTTAGTATGTTTTAACCTAAACCAATTTATTGCAAAAATAAAATAAAATAAAACATTGACTTAGTCAAGAACCAAATGAGGTCCTTACCGGAAGAACCACTAACCTATTTAACTAGGAAAATGGGCTATGGTTAATACATTAATTTGTTTTTTTTTTGTATTTTAGCTATTTCTATTTTTACTAACAATAATTCTCATTTTTTCAAATATATTTTTGTTTAATGTGAAGAATATATAATAATAATACATGTTCAAAATTTTTCATAAAATTTATAAAAATTCTATATTTTTTTTATTATTTAATTTATGACATAATAAAAATTACTTATTTAACAAGAGGAAATGCAATTCCAATATATAATATATAAATAATTATATTGTATGTTGTATATTATATATTATATATTATATATTGCATATGATAAACAAAAGTTCAGTTTATTCGGTTAACTGAATTTCTAATTCTAAAAATCGAATTAACCAAAACCATAAAAAAACAAACCATAGTTTTCGGTTCGGTTTTAATCGAATTATGCTCACCCCTATAATAGATGTGCCCAAAGTTGTTTTGTATTTTTTGTATTATTCTATTTTAAAAATTTTATTTTCAATTATACATCATGAGTTAACCCATTTGACCTGAAAGGTTGAACCACTAACCCACCCCCAAGATAAGAAAATTGTTTCATTTCCCATCGGTTTTAAGTTGTATATTTAGTGTCAATCATTAATAAAATTATGTCTATATTATCATACTTATTTTTTAATATGAAAAATATATAATAATATAATTGTGTCCAATTTTCTCAAAATTTCTTTATTTTCTATATTTTTGTATTTTTTGTATTTCTAAATTTTTATTAATTATTTATGACATCATGGAATTATCCATTTGACCCAAATGGTTGAACTACTTACCCACCACCTAGATGGAAAAATATGATTTCATTTCTAGGTTTATTTTAAAATATCAAATTTCATTGTATTAATAATTATTGTGTATAGATTTATTAGTAGAATTTAAAATTAAACACAAACTAATATTTATATATGCACACATATTACATCTAAAAGAATTATTACATTTTTATTAATAAAATACATATTACATACCTATATATATAGGTACAAATAAATAGCCCGGATGATCAAGTCGATGACCTACAACCTACATGCAAAAGAGGTTTGGCCTTTGGGCTAGCTTTTGAAACATTGCTTATGACATGGTTAGCATTTGGCTAGTCTCTAACTAATAGTTTTAACAAATGTTTGGGGGGCCAAGGGACTCCAAACTATTACTTGGCCCTCTCGTGATTCTTAAGAAGTAGGGGTGCAACTTGGGCAGGCCCAAGTTGAACCTGAACTGGCCCAACCCAGAATTTTACATGGATTGGGCTTTGATTTTCGATCCTCGGGCTGGGCTCGGGCCCAACAGGTCGGGCTTGGGCTTAGCCCTAAGGTAGCTAGAACCCGACCCGAGCCCGACCCAATTATATACATTTATACATATATATGTAAATGTTGCATACATATTTACATATATATACATACATATTTGTATATATAGCATTTCTATAGATATTTTGCATACATATTTATACATACATAAATATATGTATATATATTTGTATAAATACATTTATATATGTATAATTTTAGAATCGGTTCATTGACTAACCTAAGCCTAGCCCTAGGCCCGAGCCCAACCCGAGTGCATCAAATTATAGGGCGGGCTGGGCTCGGGTTGGAAAATTGGGCTTGACCTCGGGCTCGAGCCTTAAGCCCAAATTTTAGGGTCGGGCCTAGGTTGACCATAAACCTAGCACAACCCGCCCGATTTGCACCCCTATTAAGAAGCCATTTTGTCTATGTTATCATTAACACTACAACTCTCTTGAACATATGAATTTATCGATGTTGCTAGCAAAAAAGCGTTAACATGTTTTATGAAAGCAAAAACTCCAAGTACATAGTATACCATGATTTTGAAAATCGGACCGGTCCAAATGGATTGACCCAGAACCAATCATGAGTCTAGGTCTGGTTTTAGACCCCAAAACCATCTGACCTGGGTTTGGACCATACGATCAGATTGTTTGACTTGGGAATTGGTGGTCAAATTGGTCTTGTTTCTAGTTTGGCTTTGAAAACCATATAGTATACAACCTGGTTGGATGCTAGGGTTGTTCATAACAAGACCCAAACCGACCAACCCGAGTCATCCGGTTTTTCTTCAGCACCAGTCAGTTTCGGGTTACAAGAAACATAAAGCGATTGTTCGGTTCGGTTTCGGTTTTCATGTGTGAAGACCGAACTGAACCGACCCAAACTGACTTAGATATATATTATATATATAATATATTTCAGATATTATATATAATTATATGTATCAGTTTTAATATATATTTCATATATATATATATATATATATATATCAGCTTTATTTCAGAAATATACATATTATATATAAAATTTCAGCTTTAATCCATCAAATCATTTTTATTTTCCAGGCATCCAGCCTTCGCTTCTTAGAGTTGAATCATTTGTCGTTCACACCGAGATAGACTTGACAATCGGGTTGGATCAAGGTATCTCGGGTTGATTTCGGGTCGGGTTGAATTTCAGGTCGGATTGTCAAATGCTAGACCCTAACCTTAAATGTTTAGGTTAGGGTTGACCCATAGGCCAATTCGGGTCATCCCAAGAAATAATTGAAATTTAAAAAAATAAAGAAAAATTACATGAAAAATGTCAAAATTAAAAGAATTAACCTTAAAATTCCAAATATAAAATAAAAACTTGAACATTTAACAATTTAAAGAATAAACAATAAAAAGTAAAGACTAAATAGAAAAAATTAAAGAGTGGAAACTTCTAACAATGCATAAATAATCCCAATTAGACTTGACAATCGGGTCAGCGGGTTGACCCATGACCCAACCCAGTTTTTTTTCGGGTTGGGTCAGGTCATTTTCACACTCGGGTTGCTAAATATGAGACCCTAACCCTACTTTTTTGGGTTGGGTTGGGTCGGGTTCGCARGTTGGGTCAACTTTTTGCCAGGTCTACACCGAGAGAATCATTCACAAAACCGACCCAAACCAACTCAAACCGACTAGGCCGGTTTTACTTAGTACAGGGTCGATTTCGGTTTCATTTCTAGGTAAATTGACCCGGTCGGGTCGGTTGGAAAAACGCCAATAAACTGACCAATCTGACTCGTAAATAGCCATATTAGATGCTCATTCTTTTAGAGCGTATGCAGAGTTTTTGCTTTAAGGGGATCCTGTCTAAGTCTCAACAATAGGAGCTTCCTAAGCAACCCAAGCTTTAGCAAGATTAATGGTCGCAAAACTAATAGAATATGCTCTCACATCCAAGTAGAGGTGTAAAGTGGGCAGCCTGGCATGACCCATGGGCAGCCCGCACTTTTTACGGGCTGTGTCGTGCTGGCCCGTGGGCAATCACGGGTCATGTCGCCCTCTCGAGTGAAAAATTCGGGGGTCGGCCCAGCACGGCCCACAGCCCGGGCCTGTGCGGGGTCGTGTTGTGCTGTGCTGGGCTGGCCCGTGGGCCAAACCTTGGGCCA